GTTTTTACCCACTAAAGAAAGCTCCTCTAATTCATCAAATTATGGTTGCATAGACTTTGGTCATTATCATACAGAAAATATACTCCAGCTATCTTCATGGTCCTTTAAAAAGTTAGGGAGCGAGAAGAGACCAGAAGAAAATGTTGAAATATTGTCTGGCTTGGGCTCTTATTTCTGAACTTGCTAAGGGAGCCTGAGTTTTAGGTTAGGGAAGAGAATCAGGTCATGTTTAGCTCCAACCTCAGTGCGACTCAGCTGGTCACACACTCTGGGGAAGTGGTGGACACCTCAAAGTGAGGCTTAAGAGACAGGCAAGTAGACACAGGTGGTGGCAAGTTACAAGCAGATTATAGCAGTGTGATCAGAGGCAAAGCTTTTCCCACCTCTGTGTCTCCCTTCCCTTATCTCTGAAGTGCTCATTGTAATGTCCTTATGGCATTGATCTGCCTGGATGCTGAGAGAAATACACATACAATGCCTCTCACATCATAAAAAAAGCCCTCTAAAACATCATGCATCTTAAAACTATATTTTTACAACCCAAAATTCTGGAATGAAGTAATTAATTCTATCACAGTTTTAGGTGACTTCATGACTTTCACAGGTGCCCATGTCAGAGTTACAGAATAAATTATCTAGACAGAGCTAAAAATAAGGATACTCGTTAGACTGTGGCTAGGAAAAAAATTAGCCAGACAAAACATGCACTGGTGTTGGCTCTGCCACTACCGGACGACACAATTGTTTAAAACATAAGGAGTTTGAGTGAGGTGAACAGCCAGGTGTTGTGAAGCTCAAACATTACCCAGGCAACATCGGCAATCCTTTCATTCCTCACCATCATATGCATGGACCTGGAGGTCTATAAAGATTAAAATCTGAGAAAGTAGAGATACTATGGACCTGTTATCTCCCTACCCTAGCGATCCATGATAACTATACACCTGGTGCATATGTGGGAGGTGCAGAGGGCAGGAAGGGGAGAGACATCCTGGCCCCAGCATAAACTAAACTCTGGGCTCTCCCTTTACTTCCTAAATCACACTCTTAGAACAGGTGTTACTGTCCTTTGTAGAAATGAGGTCACTCAAATAATGAAAGAAAAATGGACCAATCTATAAAATACTCTTGCTATATGCAATATGGAGCCTAGCCCATTAAAAAATAAATAAGCATACTGAATATGTTGGTATGTGAGGTCAAAAACTCAATTTTCTCCAGAATCCTGCTCACAATCTGAGCTTGGCAATGACTAAATCAAATGTCCCCATAAGATCAACATTGAACGTAACCATTGAGTTTGACTTGGTTCTTGCCCAGCTAGCTTGCAACCAGAATCAGGGAAAGAACAGAGCTCATGAACAAGGTACCACTGTATGCACACTCAATGTGAGCATAAATTTGCATGCTGTGCATGGGTGCATGCGTGCTTGGGTGCGTGTGTGTGTGTGTGTGTGTGTGTGTGTCTGTGTGTGTGTGTGAAATCCTAATCAAAGCACTGACAGTGCTTGCCCATCAACACTGATCTACTCCTCCTCCACAGATTAGAAATACTAACAGCTTGTATGCTTTGGTATTAGAGGGGAGCTGTGGGGAACCATTAAATGTCTAGAGCCAGCTAAGGATTATTAAGTACAGGCAATTCCCTGCTCAGGTAATTGCTTTTGAGCCATAAAGGGACAGTTAAGTAAGCACTTCCATTTTAATATCATTTTCAGGAGATAAAAAGGATTCTGAAATTCCATAATGTCTAAATTTGGTACTGCTGTTGGGGAGGTGAAGAAACTTTATAGTCATGTGCTTTTTATAAAGGGATAATTGCCTCCTTCAAAAACTTTAGTTAGATTTTTCATTGGGATAAACTGCAGAAGTTCTTCAGTGAAGAAGCCTCACATTTCCACCCTAAAATGAATACTAACACAAGAATATAAACCCATATGGTTGGTTCCAAGGACAGTTCTTGGTGTCCAGGTTGATTTAAATCCAGTAGATTCATTTGGTAGCTCTCTTTTGGCACTGGTTCTGCCTCCTACTACTGTCACACCCAGAGAACCTCAATTCATTAGTGGGCTGTCCCCTCCCAGTCCCAGTCCAAAGCCTCACCCTCTCTGCTGCCTTTTGCCCCCTCAGCACTTAAGCATCTTGATATCTTACCCACTTCGAACAAATACTAAAATTCAAAAGCAAAAGTTCCCTCTGGCCCTGTATCTCCACAGAGCCATTTTCCTCTTATTTGAAGAGCATATTATTACATGAACTTTCTTCGGCCTCCTTACATCCAATGCATTTTAAACACACAACGCTTACAATTCTGCCTTCCTTCATTCTTCCTCCCCCACAAACATGCCATTGAATGTGTTTGCACTGTGTTCTGGGTTGACCTCTTAGTTGCTATAGCCTATGAATATTTACATCAGCGTCTACTTTGATGTACCCATGACCTTTGATACTCTACTGTTTCTTCGTGGAACTCTCTAGAAGTTTCTAGAATTCAGGGCCTGGGTTCTATCCTCCAATTCAGTTATTCTTCTCAGTTTACTTCAGCATCCTAAAGTGCTGGGGGAAGCTGCAGATGAAAAAGGAACCCTTCTACATTGTTGGTTGGAACATAAATTAATAGAACCACTATGGAGATTAGTGTGGAGATTTCTCAAAACACTAAAACTAGAAATTCCATTTGATCCATCTATTGCCCTTGTAGGTATTTTTCTGAAAGAGTTCAAAACATCATATGATAGAGATACATGCACCCTCATGTTTATAGCAGCACAACTCATAGTAGCTAAGTCTTAGAAGCAGCCCATGGGTACATCAACAGATAGATGAAGAAATTATATTTACATACCATGCAGTACCTCTCTGCCACAAAGAAAATCAATTTGAGTCATTTGTAGGAAAATGGTTGTACTTTCAGACCATAATGTTAAATGAAATAAGTCAGACACATAAGCTTAAATATGGCATGATTTATTTCATTAAAAACCCACATTATAAATAAATAGGAAATTAAAAGTAGTAAATAGGAGAAACAACTTTCTCAAGTTGGAAGAGAATCAAGAGATGAAGGGGAGAGGGACCGGGGTGATGGCTCAGTAGAATAAGCACTTCTCTGGCAAGCACAAGGCCCTGAGTTCAATCCCCGGTTCTGAAAAAAGAAAGAAAAAAAAAAAAAAGATGAAGGGAAGAGAAGGAAAGGAGATGAAAAGGGAATGAACATGTACTACATACATATATCAACTCCACATAGGGCTGGAGAGACAGCTCAGTGTCACAGAGCCTGCCTGGCAAGTGCAAGGCCCTGAGTTTGATTCCTGGTACAAAGCAAAGCAAAGCAAAGCAAAGCAAAGCAAAGCAAAGCAAAGCAAAGCAAAGCAAAGCAAAGGAAAGGAAAGGAAATAGGGCTGGGAGATAGCTCAGCAGACTAAGTGCCTGCTTAGGCAAGCGCAGAGACTGAGGTTCACTCCCAAGCACCACAAGTCCCCCACCCCCACCCCGCTGAGCCAGCCACTGAGTCTGGGCATAGTGGTGCATGCCTGTAATCCCAGTACTGGGGAGACAACAGGAGGATCAAACATGTTCTAAGAAAACTTTTCCTTTTTTAAAGTGTTGGGTTCCCCCCAAGTTTTCAGGAAAGAACATTTCATTAGGATAACACCAATTCTTCCCAAGACTTCAGCTGCTATCTTTAAAATACTCCTTCTTCTCTCCAAATGCCTCTTACCTGCACCTGTCTTCAGGACTCAGACTTCTAAGACCTCTTAGCATCCTGTATTCCTGCAACATCCTCATCTCAGTCAAGAGCCCTCAGCCTAACTGCTCAACACAGAAGCCTCTGCATCTACTTTGATAGCTAAAATGATTATGGGCTGTATTTGCACCTCCCTGACCTTTGGTTCTTTATCTGTAAAGTGGAGATAATAATACCTGCCTTGAAGGGTTCTTACTGACATCAGAGAACTTCTATAAAGCATGTCATCTGCACTTGCTTACCTCTTCTTCTGTTTTAATACTTATTACTATTACTTCTGCTACTTTAAAAGCATTCAGAATCCTCCTCCATTGCCTCATAGCATCCAAACTCTTCATCTGGTCTTCATGAAAAACCCAGGTGTGCTCAGTGTTGGCCCTACCTCAAATGCCCCACCCTGGCAAAAGGAACAGCAGGGTATCCATCTGCTAGCCCTCTGGGCTTTTCAAATGCTTTGCCTTCTGCTACAAAACACTTATTCCCCCAGGTCTTGGCCTCTTGTGTCTAGACAGCCTCTACTCACTCTTCAAGTTTGAGGTCGGGGTCACTTCCCTAGGAACTCTTGTTTAAGCCCAGCAACAAATCCTAACATTCCCCTAAAATTGCCTTTGTCTAGCACATGTACTTCATGTATAGCTTGTTATCCATGATTCTCTGTCCAGTTCCTCCCTGAAACTGAATTCTCTGCGAAGGAAGAGATTATATCCCCTCTCCTTTTCCTTGTTATTTCTTAGAACATTCTAGATGCAGAAAGCAGGGCTGAATGAGCATACACATGGCAAGTAACCCAGGCAGAACTCTTGCCAAGTAAAGAAGTTACATAAAATATGAACTAGTGGACTCCAGGGAGCCTGGGGGGTGGGCTAGAATAGTCACTGTAGGTCTTGTAGGAGAAGAATAGGCTGCCTTGGAGATTCAATTAAAGCAGAGTTATATGCCTTGTTTTGCAACTTCCCAAGACTGTAATTCATTCCCACTCATCACATTTGATGATTGCTGGATAAGGATTGTCTTGTGCATTTTCCCACAAATCAGTTTCACTTAGCTTTACTTAGTTCAATGTGGTTTTTTCGAACTAGAGCATATTCTGGGATATTTTTCCCCACCCACAGCTCCTAGGTTTCAGAATCAAAAATAAAAGGTGCTCTTGTTTTTTTTTTTTAAAACAAAGGAATAGTATGCCTGAAGTGTTACTTCTTACTTGTGTGGTATTTCTTGGCTTCCCTAATAATTTATTCTTCTTCGACACCAGGTGCAGTTACATGATAGATAATGTGATTCTACTGATGAACGGTGCATTACAAAAAAAATCCGTGAAGGAACTTCTGGCCAAGTGCCACCCCTTGGGAAGCTTTACAGAAATGGAAGCAGTCAACATCGCAGAGACCACTTCAGATCTCTTCACTGCAGTCCTCGTTGAAACCCCATTAGGTAGGAAGTTGTAAGTGCACAGCTGCTGTCTTTGTTATCCCAGACTCTAGAACATTCACTTGTGGCTCACAGCTGTTTTGCACTCATGCAGTTTCATGCTATGTGGATTCATAGCTATACAAGGGACACTAAAGCATCGTCTAGTCTTGCTCCCTCGCTTTTCAGATCAGAAAAGTAAAGTAACCTGCTCTAAGTCACATGGGAAATCTTGCTGCAGAGAAGGAGCTGGAGCTCGCCTCCCAAGCTTCACCAGTTTTCCACCAGCCATTGCACATAGATGACAGGACATATCATTGTTGAAAATGCTCATTTTATACTGAATTTCATACAATTAATTCCTTATTCTTTTTTTAAACTAAATTAACCTAGGGAGCTTTTTTTTTTTTTTTTTTTTTTTTTTTTTTTTTAGGAAGTTTGTCAATGTCATTTTTTTGAGATCTTCTGTCAAATAATCTGAAGCGACGATGAAATGTATCTCAATTTTGTTATAATTTGATCCTGAAAAGAACTGGATTACTGAAAATGCAAACAGGGTAATTTTACAGCATTTATCTATCTATTATTATCAGAAAATTAGCACAGTAGCAATCCACAATTGATCATTCATCAAAATATTTGCCCTTTGATTTAATTTAAGGAAAGTCCTGAGGATTAAATGCAGAGCCACATATATGATACGAACATAACCTACCACCAATAGCCCCAGCCAAAGTAGTAGCTGTCTAAAATAGAAATTTTTGGGACCAGGGAGATGGCTCAGTAGAATAAGCAGTTGCCTGGCAAGCGCAAGGGTCTGAGTTCAATCCCCGGTTCCGCCAAAAAAAAATAAAAAATAAAAATAAAACAGAAATTTTTAATAGGCAAGAATAATATTTATGTCATCCATTGGTGTCTGAGGCTGAGGCAGCACAGCCTAGTGGAGAGAGTGCAAGCCCGGAATCAGAAGGCTTTCACCTCATCCCAGCAAAGTGACCTGGATACCCCCATTCCTCAGTTACTGCAGTTTCCTCATTTGAAAAATAATCATATCTTATCATGCAAGAGTTTTGAAAACTAAATAAATTATAGTCTTGATACACCTCAATGCCTGGTATAAGTTTGGTTACAAATGGCAAATGTTATAGTAGGCAACATTTATTGGGGATTCAGGAGAGATTTAAAAAGCTCGTAGTTAAGTTTCAAGGTGTTGTGAAGACTCAATAAATAAAAATGTGTTCAAGTTAGCAAGCAGTGTTTAGAGCTCACACATAGCAAGTTCTTAATAAGGAATAATTTCCCATCATCCTGATTGTTATTGGTCGTATCAAGCTTGAGAATTGCAACCCCACAGTGTTATTAGAAGTCAGAAAAGGATGGTAAGTTCAGGAAACATTCTGTACAGCTTATAACCTTGCTTTTGATTCATTTACTTTGTTTGATAATTTTTGCTTTTAGCTCCATTCTTTCAAGACTGTATGTCTGAAAATACTCTAGACGAACTGAACATTGAATTACTGCGCAATAAACTATATAAGGTAATGCTTTCCCAGATACTACATTTTTCTTGATTACATGCTATATCCTAACTAGAATCTTAACAAAGTTTCTTGTCCATTAGCCAACCTCTGCGATTAGGAAGCTAATAGATTTGGAATACAGTTTATTGTTTGGCCTATCTTCTATTTGCGCATACACATGTCAATTTCCCTCAACCACAACATTTTTGAGAAGAAATAATATGCCCATCTCTCTTCTTAGCTCTAGACACAGTGCTCAGAACATGGAAAGTGTTCTTTGAATGGTAGCAGGTAGCTGGATAAATGAATGAGGTGACCCATAGGAACCTATTTAAAACAACTGCCGTGCATGATGTCTTCCTTTATAGCGATCGGCTCTGCCACTGGTCCCGGTGTGGCGTTCTCATATCTCACAGCTAACCTGCCTACAGAATTCTAAACTAGTGTGTAGAGTATACCAGAATAACCAACTGTTCAGAGGGAAGGAACAACGGGGATGAGGGAAAGGAGCAAAGAAAGCGTAAGGGGAAAAGAAATATATATGAGCGACACAGGACAGCTTGTGTAACTGCACTGCTGATTTCTGCTGGCCTGTGGAAAGGAACAGTTAATGCTTATTTTTTCTCTCTTCTTTTTAGATTTTTTTAAAATCAGTTTTGCATGCTTCTATCTGGTCATCTGAAAACAACAATAGGCAATGTAACAACCACTGTTGAATTCCTTTCATTTTGATAGGTGCAATTCTGTGTCATTTCTAATGTTTTTGAAACTATTTTCACTCTTTTGAAAAGATCAAAAAAAAAAAAAGATTAACCAACTAGTGCGCATTATATCATATGCACCACTTGGCATAAGGTGACCGGACTGGGCTGCTACTATGAGTGGCCCTGTGCATTCTAGGTTAAGCAAAATCTGCACATTTACACTCATACACCCATACCATGTTTGCACGCTCTCACAGAGTAAATAAACATAGGGTAATGTGCCGTATGTATAGTATGTATATATAATATATAATATGATATATAATGCTTATGTAACATGATACAGTGAAACACACGGTCTTCTCAAAAGCACTGTATTACAGGCAATTCTTTTCAGAAAAAGAGGCTTTGAGGAGGCCTCTAAGATACAACTAACACAAAGCAGTCTTCTGGACAATATATAGGCCTTAATTCCATTAATCTACTACCACATCCTTGAGTCTAATGCTGTACCCATTCCTCAGATGAGAAAACCATACATGGAGTGGCCAGGATTCCTTGGCAGAAGTCATTATGTACTGAGTGTCAGTGTTGGGATTCAGACACAGGCAGGAGGATACTGCAGCCCAGACTCGGCCTTTCCAATATATTTCCACACTCAAAGCTGTCCCTAACGTGTCTCTGAGTGATTAAATGTCAGCACAAGACCGTTTAAATCATTTGCTGAGCTCAGAAAAGAACTTGGCACTCGTGTTAGAATAGTCAGAATTAACTATGTGAAATAATCCAAGAACCATGTGAAAAAAAAATGCTTCAGTAATTATAAGCCATGATAAGTGCAGTTTTGTTCTCTTACGAAGTTCTTTTTTAGTCTGTGGAACTTGCTGCATTGTGAAAGTTTCTACCAAATTTATTATAAAATATCTCCCTATGGGAGAAATAATTCAATTTCCATTAAAGAATTTAATAAGCCATGAAAAGCTGACCTAGAAATTTTCAAAAGGAAAACATGTTCATTTTATTGTTCTTTCTTCTTTTGAAGTCTTATCTTGAGTCATTCTATAAATTTTGCAAGAATCATGGTGATGTCACAGCAGATGTTATGTGTCCCATTCTTGAGGTAAGAATCTGAACTTTTTTTTTTTTTTACCAACTAACGTGTTAACGTACTTTTTCTTGTTTTGACCCAGCTTATATTTCTATGACTTAGAAATGACATAGAAATAAAAGAAGCAGTACATCTAGGGTGCCGGGGAGATGGCTCAGTAGAATAAGCGCTTCCTTGGCAAATGCAAGGGCCTGAGTTCAATCCCTGGTTCTGAAAAAAAAAAAGAAGAAGCAGAGCACTTTAATATACACATCACTTCATACCGTCAATGAAGAGCAGCACTTTCTTGAGGGCTGGGAGCCCTGCTTGGTGGTAGAGCCTTTGCTTAGCAGGCCAAGGCCAGGGTTTTGACTGCAGCTCTGCCAAAGAAAGGAACTATTTTCCACAATTCTACATAGAGGAATTACTTTGTAATTAGGAAAGAAAAATACTTACAAAAGTTTGATCATGATTCATTTTGATGTAGGATATAGACTGCATATTAAAATTATTTCTATTTTAGTATGCTGTAAGCAGTTGGTGGACTGCAGGTACTCTTACACTAATTACTCAAATTCCCTCCAATGGAAGAACACTGGCCCCTAGAAATCTGACAACTTAGCACCAAAAAACACTGTGGTGTCATCCAAAACTCTTATAAGCATTGCCCTTTGGGAAAAGAAGGAAAGAAAGAAAGAAAGAAAGAAAGAAAGAAAGAAAGAAAGAAAGAAAGAAAGAAAGCAAACAAGCAAGCTAAAAACATCATTTGCATATTTTAGCCTAATGTTCTTATACTGCATATGATTAAATTAGTTCTCAAATATCTGATCATTTAAATTTTACAATTAAAATTACTTTGGTACCCCCTTTTAAAAATTCTTTTAAAAGCCAAACAGTCCTTGAAGCAAACATCTTATCACTGGAGTTGTACTGTTAGGAAGTGGTAGAGTCAGGATTTGAACCCAGTCAGCCTGGCTCCAGTTCCTATATGCTCACCCAATGTGCCTACTTGACTCTGCAGTAAATTCACCATTTATCCTGAGTGCAGTAGCTGTAACATTAGATACTCAAGAGATGAAGGGAAGAAGATTGCAAGTGCAAGGCCAGCATGGGCAACTTATGAACAACTTGTCTCAAAATTAAAAATCAAATCAAGGGTGAGGATATAGAGATGTAGCTACGTGTTCCTTGGATTTGATCCCTAGTACTAGGGAAAAAAAATCACCCTCATAGCTCTTTTGCATAAAAAGTAAGTGCTAATTTATAAGAAATATCCTATTATTTGGCCTATGAAAATCAGAAATGGGTAAAAATTCTTTTGTTTTAACCTCAGTAGGGTAAAAAACAGTGTTATAAGAATCCATGTTATTGGAAGAATTTGATCAAACTAATATATGCCCAGCATCACTTTTCTTATCAAACTAAAATAGTTTTTTTAAACTTCATTAAAAATACAAATACATCAAATTATCTTCATACACTTACATAGAATAGCAGCTGTTCATAACATTCCATTTTAATTTTTTGAAGAACATGATTAGAGATCATAAATTTACCCTCTTTATTTGTGCAGCTTAGAACACAAAGTTTTACACACACACACACACACACACACACACACACGCTCATTTGAAAGGAGTCTTTAGAACCCTTACTAGTGTCAAGACAGCATTAATATAGGCTTGCTCGTGAAAATCTGACTTAATCACAAGATCGTGACTTCGTGTAAGAGGCCAGCGTACCACGTGCGCCCCGCTACCCCACCGAGCACCGCCGCGGAGAGGCACAGCGCAGGCGCTTCTGAGGCTGGGCTCAGTTCGAGCTCCCTTCACTTCTCCATCACCACTGACGCCCTGTCCTGTGCCCCTCCCAGAGCCCTTCCTCCTCTCAGAATGCCTAACCCCTTGGTCCAAATCTGTGATGTGCAACTGATAACGATTTGGGACAACCCACCAGCGTTATTTGTTCTTACAACAATAAATTGTGATTTGAAAATGCATATTTATTAAAAAGAGTGAAGAAAAGACATGAGGTATTCAATATACCCTGTACCACACTGCAACCCAATCTTGTGCAAAAGAAAGAGACAGAATCACCCAGTGTTTCCCTGTTAGTCTCCTCTAATCAAATGCTCTGCTTAGGGATGGTCAAAAAGCAGTCTACACAGTTTCAAAATTGCAGAGGTTTTTTTCACTCAGAGAATACACACACACACACACACACACACACACACACCCCTAGTAAAATAAGATAGATACACACATGGTTATAAGGGAAATGAGAAGATTAATAGGGAATCAAAGGTAACTATTTGCAATCATGGAAGAAATAAAGGCCTTGATATGAAGATGGCATCTGGTGGGACCCTCAAGTACACACAGGATTTCATTCTATGAGTCAGGAGGTGGAGCCTGTGCACTGCAAGCTAAGGGGAACGGTGATGAGGACAAGGACTTGCAGAGTGTGCAGTGTCCAGGCTTGTCAGTGCAGGCCTTCTCTTCTTGACAGGGCACAGGACAGCCCTTCCTGCTGTCCACTCCACTATCCATCCATTCATTGCTGCCTCTTCTGCCCCAGAATTGGAGTCGCAACTCTGCCTCCCAAATATCACATGCTCAGGCACTTTCCTCATGGCATGCACTGAGCACCCGCTCTGCGGTCTTGCAATGTCTGAAGCACCATCTCCTTGGCCCTATTTCTCACCTGAAAACTCTAACTTCTTGGAATTAGAGAGCACATGAGAGAACATCTGGGACAATTACCTCCATTGTTGTTCCTTCTGCCCTAATTTTTATTTTAAGGTTTCATATTACCATGAAATCTCCCTCTTGTATTACTTCTCTTATCCCTGTAAGGTCTAAAATTACTGACAGGACTGGTTAAAGTCAGTGGCTAGAGGCAGCTGCCTTTGCTTCCAACTCAGGCCACTCCCTGCTCCTGGCCCACCCATAATTTCCATGACAGCAATCAAAGGATCAGACAAGACTGCCTCACAATCCTTCTGATAGGAAACACCTGTTCTAACAAAAGCATTCCAGTAAAATCTGCTGCAAGTCCGGTTTTGTTATTGGTTAATAGTCAAAAGTAATGATTAAAGGATAGCACAGAGCAACTCTTTCCAACTTTCATGCGCATGTAAAGAACTTCGAGTCATGTTAAAATGCAGATTGTGGTTTAGTAGGTCTGGGTTATGTACGGCCGGAGAATCTGCATTTCTGATGAGCTTCCTGGTATTGTGCAAGCACTGAGCTGCAAAACATTTCAAGCAGCAATGTCCCAGAAAATAGTTTCAATTTTTCAGAATTTAAAGTAGCAAAAGAGCAAAATAGTCCATTGGGTTAGATAGATAGTTAAGATATTATTGTATCTCGCTGCTAGGAATGGTGGCACACACTTGTAACTGCAGCAATCCAGAGACTAAGACAGGCAGATCACAAGTTCAAGCCCCCTCTGGGCAATTCAGTGACTGAGACCCTGTCTCATAATTTAAAAACAAAAAAAAAAATTTATAAGGCTGGGAAGGTAGCTCAGTGAACGTCTTTGCGTTCAGCCCTCACAACATGCCTTCATGTGTGTCAGGCACTGACTAAAAACAATGAATAAGAGAGGTGTGGTGATGTGATTCCTTGTAAAAATTCAGGCACAGACTGGGTCGTGGAGGAGAATTGCTGAGCGCAAGAGCAAGTTGGCAAACATCCACAGTGGGTAGAAGTGGAGCCCTTGCAAGACAGTAAAGCACAATGGTAGGAGCAGGCAGAAGGGGGGCCGAGGGAGTGAAACATGGAGTAGAGGAAAGACAAGTTCGAGAGCTGCTGGGTGAGCAGATGAAAGAGTGGTCTGGCCTCGGGATGGGAGCTCAGGTGCCCAGCCTAGGTCATTTAGCAACTTAGCAGGACCATGATTCAAAAAAAAAAAAAAAAAAAAAGTAAAGGCCTGAGCCTCAGCTAATTGCAAAGGCCTCCTTGGATTCAACCAAAGAATTGTTCATTGAGTATCTTTCATATTACCAAATTTACATGTGAAAAAGAAATATAACTAAGAATTTTTAAAACTTTTTTTAATGTATTTAGGACAGGGTCTACAGGTTCTCACTACACAGATTGAACTCATAGTGATCCTCCTGTTTTCAGTCTCCCAAGGGCTGGGATTACAGGCACACGCCACCACACCCTGTCTCAATTGCCATCTCAGTGCACCCTGGGGGCAGGACCAGCACAGTATGCTGGGGATCGAACCCTGGTCCCTGAGCTCTGTCTAAGCAGGCACTTTAATCCACCGAACTATCTAGCCGGCCCACAACTAAGAATTTGTATATATAAAAATGTGTTTACTTTTAAGGTCCAAAATTACATATAGGCAGACAGACAGATATATTGATGACCATTTCTTTGTCCAAGCACCCTGGTAAGCACATCTACTTACTTTATCTTGTCTGTCCCTTCATTGGCTACAGTGGGCATTAATCCCACTTTTATAGGAAAGATATTTGTGACTTTAGTGGTTTAGGTGACAGAGTTTCAGGGTGCCTGGGAAATAAAATTTGGGTGAGATTTCAAGAGTCATAGGCCATCACCAAGCTGTGTGATCCTCCTCTGGCAAGTTACTCCATTCCAAGAAGAGAGCGAGGGAAGATTAATAACACATGTCTGCATTATTATTAGATTTAGATCGGGAAAGGAAAACAAGTCACTTCAGAAATGGATTTGTCCATTTAGGGTTCTGTTTACAGTATTTAATGGAGTATCAAGTTTCACTGATCTTACATCTTACAAATTCAGTTTGAGGCTGACCGGAGAGCCTTCATTATCACCCTGAACTCCTTTGGGACTGAACTGAGCAGAGAAGACCGGCAGACCCTCTACCCGACCTGTGGCAAGCTCTACCCTGAGGGCTTGCGCCTCCTGGCCCAAGCTGAAGACTTTGATCAGATGAAGACAGTAGCGGATCACTATGGAGTGAGTTATCACACCACATCCCTGCATGCCTTGTGCTGTTTCATCACACGTGCTTTAGAAATTCACACATTAAATTTGCACTTGTTATCAAAAGAAGTTATAACATTTATAAGGTAGCAAGTAGCACCTCTTCCTGGAATTCTCCCTTCCAAAGGAACTCAAGTTGCTAGCCCAAGATTTTTTTTTTTTTTTTTTTTTTTTTTAAGATTCCTGCCAAGTACTTATTGTTTAAATCTCCAAGGAGTGGTCACTGAGAACTTTCTTGAAGTGTTTGATAGAGCAACTTTCCCAAGAAACAGGGTGCTATTCTGGAAACATGAGCTCATGTCAAAGTTATATAAAATAGCCTGACCCTCTGGTCCTTTCCAGTGCCCATTAGGGCTAGGCACAGAGTGTCCGTGAGGACTGCTGGGAGAATATGTGTGTAGGTGGAATTTTCTATTCCCTTTGCCAATGGGAGAAATCGGGAGAGGTCAGAACGCTGCTGGTATCCTACTCGACTCTAGCATCCAACTGCTATATGACAGGCCAAAGCTGCTCAGCTCCGCTGTCTCAGGTTCTAGCCCCCCTGACTTGTAAAGCTATATATGCACCCTCCAAGTCGCTTTTTCAGGACTAGACTGGCACGTGTCTTTCTCTGTAGATTTCTGAGGCCCTCCAGGGAAGATAAAAGTCAGCAAAGGAAATAGAAACCCTCCTAGCATCTCATCTCCAGCACTCTTCAGCACAATATTTAAATGTGAGCTTTCCCCCATTTGAACCCTTTTTCCACACTTGAAAATCTATGTGGGTTTTACCAGCTGTCAATCTCAAAGAACCCATGAGCCCATATGCATCAAACTACAAGCATTCATTGAGCCTAAAGAAGATAAGAGTGGATATCAGCTCTACCAGTGCATATGAAGAACTGAGTAACTTTGGACTCTTGTATTATGGCCCTTTAAAATCCAATAAGTTAAAATTTCATCCTCACTCTTATTTATTTGAATTTTTGGTATTTTGTCAGCAGACTAAAGATCTTACAACAACAAAATTCAAGCCTTCTGGTATAGATTTTTAAGAATAAATACAAGATTTCTATATAGCTAGAAAAATACATTTATATACACTTATCTCTCTTCTTTATTTCTAAGGTATACAAACCTGTATTTGAGGCTGTCGGTGGCAGTGGGGGAAAGACACTAGAAGATGTGTTTTATGAGCATGAGGTATGACGTGACTGGAAATGCTACTAGTTCATATGCTTTTCTTTTACCATGGGTTTTTAAAATATCTTTTGTTTTGCTTTGGGTTTCATTTTATAATTGACCAGGCAAATTGATACTTGTCAATCAATAGGGTTAATAAATCCTTGGAGGGCCAGGGCCTTGTGGCTCACATATGATACCTTCCCATGGAATTGTCCCGTCTTCACACCATGAAGTCCTAGAAGAAATGTAGCTTTTCCAAAGTTAATTAAATAGAAAGCACAGCTAAGACGTCCATGCCGTCACATCCTGACTGCCAGCACTGTCTAATGCAGCTCACTGTCTAATGCATCTCTCCTTCAAGGAGGCTTTATTCATGGGTAAAACACATGCTCACAATTATAGCTGTGCAGCTCCTCAAATGAGAATCCACCCAGTCTAGAGTACTGTCTTTCCCTAGAAACGACAGAGAAACATTAAGCCCTTATGCTTAGTTCCTGAGTTATTGAACCGTTTAATAAAAGGGCTTCCCCTTTTTCCAACAGGTAAGTTCTCCCAAATCTAGAGTTTTTCCTAGTGTATTTTTCTTTAAAACCATCTCAATATGATTGAAAACTAATGAAGCACCAAACTGACGGGCGGCATGGTAGCACATGCTTCTAATCACAGCACGCAGGCAGCTAAGAAAAGAAAGTCATGAGCTTGGGGTCAGCCTGAGCAACTTAGTGAAACTCTGTCTCAGAAAACAAATAAAACAGAACAAAATTTAGGGCTAGAGTTGCTGAAGAAAAAAGTTCACAAAACCTTCTTGCATCTATCCTTTAAACGATTTCCAGTGGTTCTCTAGTGTCTGTAGTAGAAAGAAGTAAAACAATCCAAATTATCCCATATGGGAAGGCCATATACACCCCTACCACTGCTCCTGAGCTGCCTGTGGCTGGAAGGATGAGCATCCATTCCCAAGAATAGAGGCAGCCTCCGCTTCCCGCCTTCTTTGCTTAAGGCTCGCATAGCTGCGCAAGACTCAGTGTCTCTCCTCCTTTTTTCCATCCTAAATGTCAAAATGGAGCACAGGCCAAATAGCTAGCTGATTAAAGCGGCTGCAATCAGGAGCAGGGGCCCAGGGTTCGATCCCCGGGCCTGCCATGCCGGCCCTGCCCCCAGGGCATACTGAGACCGCCAGTAGTGATGCGCTGGCCTGTAATCCCAGCTCTTGGGAGGCTGTAAACAGGTGGATCACTCCGAGTCCAATCTAGTAGTGAGACCCTTCCTTAAAAATACAAAAAAAAAAAAAAAAAGTCAAAATGGAAAATAATGAAGGGATTGCTCTATTTCCATCTTTGTACCAGTTTCTAAATACTTTTTTTGAAATTTTCTTTCAGTCCACTAACTTTTGTAGAATAAAACAATTCAACAGTGTGGAATGTTGCTTCAGTGTCCTAAAAAAGTTTGTGTCACTCGATCTAAATTCCACGAGCCTGTGACACTGTTCAGGAGGCAGACTAGACAGCCTTAAATGCCTCCTTAAAATTTTAAAACTTGCAGACAATAAGAAATACTTTACTAGACCCAGTCCTAGCCCAGGTCCGGTGAGTGTGTGGAGAGCTTCCTGCTACCATGCGCCGGCGGGACCAGTCCCAGCCCAGGCGCAGCGTGGGCCGGACCCTCTCCCGCCCCCTTGGGCCGCCCCCCACCCGTCCCGCCGAGGAGGAATTTCTGCCGACTTCCGGGAACCCCCAGACCCAGTCCTAGCCCAGGTCCGGTGAGTGAGTGGAGAGCTTCCTGCTACCCTGCGCCGGCGGGACCA